CATAATACTTCTCTATTCATGAGGATTTGCCTCTGAATAGTCCTCCTCTCCCAGCCATTCTTCCATTCGTTTGGTTCATTCGAGAAACTTTCCTCATCGGCACGTTATGCCTTTTGGGTTTTCCTTTCATAAATGCTCGTTGATTCAAATTCTGAGAAGTGTTAGCTTACAAAAATATAAAAAATGTATAAAATTATAATGAAATATTAGCTTACAAATGTGAGTCTTATGAGATTCCACTGCAGTACTGCTCCTAACATTTTCATTACAGTAATGAAGTCTTCTCTTCTCTTCTATTCAGGCTGATCAAATTTGCTCGTTTTAGCACACTAAAAATTGAAATTAAAAAAAAAAGCAAAAATTTTTTTTAACTGAGGGGTTCTTATTCGAGGCTACGACATCCTTGCTGTTTACGACAATGGTGTCTTTTGTCGTGAGGGATAGTTTACTGCCTAACCTCCCTAATGACCAAATGGATCTGGAGCCTCCTTGTCTCAGTTACTCCTCGAATTCCTTGCTTAGTCTCTTCAGGTTTCATTATCAGTCCCTCGATATAATCTTCTTTGATGGGCGTCTGTCTATCTAGATTTCCTTTAATTGCCTACTTACTCTTTTACAGTCGGCATCCCACGACGGCTCAATGATTTAGAGCACCCTCTCTGGCCTAACCCGTCCAATGCTTCCAGGGTCTTCCCTAGGCTTAGTGTGAAGAGAGTTTCACTCAAGAAACATACTGGTTTCAAGAAACAGTTTGACTAGAAGAATCGAGAGTTTGACAAATTTCAAAGAAACTTGAGTTCTAACTGCTTTATGTACCCTTTTTGGGTTTATGTACCCATTAGGTATTGGGGTCAAAAGTAATATGAGGAAGATCTTTTTGGCTGGACATGATCTTGTTCCAAACTGTCTGACAAGTGGACCTGCTTCGTGATAAGCAGATTAGGGGTATCATAACGGACACTTTGAGTTCTCAGATTTTCGCGATATCTCCTTTTGAAGATTCTTCAATAGTAACTACCGATTATCCATCAAGTAAACGTAAAACTGAAATGAGATTGTCTGAATAAACCGTGAGTGGAAAATGGACGACAGTCATCACCACACACACGGAGCTTGAACCTATGTAAGCTACCACTGTAACCTTAATAGATTGGATAATAATGTTGTAAATTAAGTTTTAGGGCTGCGGACAAGATTGGATTAAGTTTAGGTCTTCGCAACAAAGAATATAAGTAATAATTGTAATAGTTGAAAAATAAAATAGCGTAATAAAATGAAATAATTAAAAACAGCGAAAATTTGTTTATCTAACAAAACGACTAAGTGAATGTTTGAAAAGACCGCTTATCAAAGGGAACTGCAATTTCGTTTCCAAGTTCTCAGTCACAAACTGATAGTGTGAAATCGAATATTTCGCATTCTTTTTCAAATTTTTTCATTTTGCTTTCATTTCGGTGTGAATGTTCATTTACCGGAACAGACTGCATCCCCGAAAACATAATGGTTCATGGAAACCTAAAATATTTTAAATTTTTGCTAAACTTTTTATGAGGGTAGAAAAAAGACGACAATTTTCAATCTCACGGCAGCGCTTAAGTGATTCCCTAGAGAAGTTTCTTCTGGAATCTTAGTAGTAATTAGATAGCTGTAGTCGCGGAAGGGCAGTGAATTACCTTGGTGGTGCGTAACTTACTCGAATGTTTTCCTGACTTTCATTTTGATTGCGCCGTAGCCACCGACCACGGGAAGTGGGTTTCATGGAGGATAACAAGTTTGTGCGTACGAAAGTACATAATTCCTCTACCACCTTCTACTCTGAGAGCTGCAACGAGGAATTATGTTCCAGTCCGTAGGCTATAGAGAGTGGAGAGGGTCTTCTAAGCTGGCGCGCTAAGGCTAAGCTGCCAAAGCCGATTTGCCCATGAATGTCCTCAACGCGCCCTCCGATCAAGCTCATCCACTAACCGTTTCTATTTGCTCACAGTAGAATCAATTTCAATCCCTCACCAGAAGAAGTACTTCGTCGGCTGTCGCTGTCGCAGTAATATCGCAGTGCCTTCCCTTCTATGGCTGCTGCTGTAGCATTTTACGTGGCTGAACGAAGAAGCTATCGGGGGCCCTGAGTCAGCCGTCTGAAAGCGACGGCACCACAACAGAACACAACCGCCACTGCTATACATCACGATACAATTGTTGAACTCTTTGCATTTCTCTCGTTGGTTTTTGGCAATTTCGATCCACAAAAGTGAAATCGCCAAGGTCTTCTTGCGTTCCAAGTCATTTCCATTTATCATCATTCACTTTTGGGTATTCTCTCGTTTTCACCAGCCCCCGTTTTCTTCCAAACATTGTAATCCTACTTGTATCGATTTGTAGATTTTAGAGAAGATTAGCCTTAACCCTCCCATCTGATTAAGCCTTACCTGATTCCTCTTCTCGCAGAAAGCTCCTCGCTCACTGCCTGAGTGCGATAGTTGTCCTTACGATTGGCTTAATCCACGACCTCAGGACATTCGAACGAAAAGCTACTCCTTTTTTCTGAAATTAATCGTGATACTCGAATTTTGGATCGTTCCAGGGCAGAAAAGATCATCTTTAGGGAGCTGAGCCTCTTTTTATATGAAACCTTGTACACCCGATTGAAGGATAGAGTGCTCTTAAGCGGTCGCCTCTGTAAAAGGAAACTATGTAATCTTTCTGCGCTATCGACGTTCCAAAATAAACATTTCAGATCAAAATGTCTACGATGATCGCCGTTCTTCAATGTACAAAGAATTAGAACAGCAACTAAACCGAGTATTTCCCTCAACGCAGTCCAAAATGGAATCTGGTGAGCCCCGTCTTGTAATGAATGTTCTTACAAGTGGACGACAAACTTGTGATTACTCTGGGTTGCGCCCTGCGTGCAGCTTCCTTTTGATATTGTTAGCTCATTAAATTTGGGTTGGGGATAGGGGCTTGTACGTATGTGTATTGTACCTAACAATTCTTCATTTTCTTTTTGTATGTATTTCTGGAAAACCTGATCGGAAGCCATACCTGTTCCGTAAAAAAAGACTGAAGAACTTGTATATCCCAAATATTCCGAAAATATGGGTAAGTGCTTGGATTTTCAGAGTACGAGTATGATACGCCCGACTACTCACAATCGGACGATCAGCAAAGCCACCCTGAAGCCCTAAAATTCGCCGAGCTCTCCAACTTGGTAAATTTGTTCATAATTTTACAAGCCACATCTTGATCATGAATAGAGCCGATTAGGTCTTACTGTATGTTTCTCGCCATGTGAGTGATAACTCTCTTTATTTCCTCCTCCTGTTTTTCCTACTCATCCTCCATTCACTTGCCTAAGCTGATCTTTTTACAACTCTGGTGACGCCATTGAAGGGCAGGGGTAGGCTTTTTTAAATAGTGAGTCTGCATTCCAGCCCGGCCTCTCCTCCCCTAGTAGCCTTACGTTTCACTTTCTTGGTCCCACGCTCAATGATAGAACATGATGTTTGATTTTTCTGATGGCTATGGCTACATTCTTTTTTGACGGAAACATCCGTCCAGGTGATTTATAGGTCTCCTGGCATGAATTATATGACATAAATAAGGGGGCTAGCTGTTACTGGAGATCTAAGCTCTGGGTTCTTGGCTTAATCACTGACAGCTTTCGCCATGCTAATGAGTCCGGCCATTATGGTGGGCAGTTGACCGAGGGAATAGTTTTCCAGCTTCAGCTTTTCTTTCCACCCTGATGTGAGCCCTTCGAATCATAACAACGCTCTTCAAGATCATCGGGAATTATCTCTGCAAAAGGTCAGGGAGGGGCGGAGCTCAAGCGGTATAGTTGAACCATCTTCAATCAGCCGAAGTTCAGATCCGCAGTCGGTTCTCAATGCGATTTGCAAAGTTTACACTCTATTCGTATGAGGTAATAGTTCAAGCTGTTTTTTACAATTACTCGACCATATTAGCCTAAAATCTCGTCCTTCAGCTCCGGTCATGTTTTTGAAATTCTTCCTTACGAGCAATATAAAGGTTTATGATAACCTTGCGTTAAATAGTGTAAACATACAGTGCATAACTCTGCAAAATTTTGGATTGACGCATTTTTGTTCATCGAAAGCTCGTCCCATACACCACATCCGTACTTTTTTATGTGCGAACCATTCAGAAGTTACCAGTGATATAAAAGAATCATTAGTGTCAAGCTCGGCCCAATTTTTCTGTAGTTGGAGATGAGCTTCCATTGTAAAGCTGAATTTTTTGTTATCTTCTTATCAAGCTTGTTTGATGAGCTGCTCTCCAGAAGTGTTGTGTATACCAGTCATATAGTGTCCAGAATCCCACTTGGAACATTTAATTGTTTATTTATTGATTTATTCGGTTATTTATACACTCCACAGAGTGCGCCTTCGTTTGTATAAATGCAGAGGTAGCAAATAAGCCAACTCAAACCAGAAAGACAGCAGTTTCGCCGTCTTCAAGCTCTTCTTTTTTGCTTGTATGACCACTTTCACAAAAACAAATGCAGCAGCCCAACGTGAATTATAGTAAAAGGTCTTAGGCGGGTCATCGATAAAAATAAATTTATTGATAGAAAGTTCGGCCGCCTTTGAATGGCTCTTGTCGTAGGATACAGTGGAGGTCGTTGGGGGAAAAAATGGAAACCTGTTCGTGAAAGATCCGTGCAGCAGGTGGGGTTGAAAGGGAGAAACACATCCACCCAGGCGGACTGAGCTTGCACTTGTCATCTTTGACGAGAATTTGACGCTGATACGGTGTGATTGCTTTTGTAAAAGCTAAGTCGAACGCGTTTATCAGCAGGATTTTCTTTTATCCACAATGATCAAAAAACATTGGTGAAAGTGACCCAGAAATTATTCTTCTCCTTGATGGGGGACATGTTTTGAGGGTTGAACTTTTTTGGTGCCCATCAATCTTTTTTGCGTTGCGCCCACATTTAACTTCCATACAGGACTACAACGACATTTTGATGCGTATTCTAATGACTGTGGGGACTAATTAACGAACAAGTCGGTGCTTTGACCCTTCCAGACATTTACGGTAGCAAATAATAGAAAAGGGCTTGGGACGATGGGGGATAGGACCTATGGGAGATGGGAATGGGACGTTGGGGTACCGGGTCAGGACTTGGTCAACCCGCGCGACCCGACTTGTTCCCTCGGAGCATGTTACAGTCAAAGGCAGAAAAAGGGGGTAATGTGGAATTAAATTGAAACCCTTTGGGCTTTTCATGAAAAAAATTCCAGGATGAACCATCACCAGAAGAAGAGGACTATGGTNTTGGGGTACCGGGTCAGGACTTGGTCAACCCGCGCGACCCGACTTGTTCCCTCGGAGCATGTTACAGTCAAAAAAAAAGTGTCGGGCAGAAAAAGGGGGTAATGTGAAATTAAATTGAAACCCTTTGGGCTTTTCATGAAAAAAATTCCAGGATGAACCATCACCAGAAGAAGAGGACTATGGTCGTCAATACACCAGTCGGTTGCCCACTGATCAACCTCTCTATCAGATATACATGCTAGCGGAAAATGATAAACTCTTTGATGGAGTACTTCTGAGGGCTAATGATTCCATAGAACGCAATGGTGGTCAAGAAGAGCCGACAGCAGAAACTTCAATAGATCTGGTTTGTTAATTCAGAAGTTCAGTTTATAATTCATCTATTAATTTTTTGTTGGCTCACTCGGGCTTTACGAGCGGATTTCCTATTTTACAGTTCCGCCGGGAGTCCTGCGCGTCGTCAGATTCCGGTCGTGGAGCGGACTGCTCGACGTCGGCATCCGCATTAACATCAAATACGTCAATGAGGAGAGAAAGATTGATAGCAACTTCTCATTTTGGGAGTCAACGAAGTCTGTGGTGTGAACTTGAAGAGGTGGACATTTCGAACAAGTACATAGAGCTTTTCACATTCAAAAACTTTTGTAACAGGTGAAAGCTGCTGGGCTCTTAGCCACATTAGATGAGGAGACAAGGATGCGGCAGGAGGCATACTTTGAAGTAAGTTAACTTCGACGACTCTTTCAGTCCTGGCCCATACGGGTATCCCGTCCAATCCATACAATCCTGTTACCGGGCGTATAAAGATCCCTTAATATAATAGAAATCCCTCAACTGCTGGCTTTCCTCCAGGCTCCCCTTGAAACATTCTGGAAAATATTTCCGACTTGATGTAATTGTTGGGCTCCTCCTCTCAAATACAAATCAGTTGGAGTTTTTTTGAAAGCAAATTGTGGGTAGAGTCGTTTCTCCTACCTTCCCACTATGACCTTATTTCCTACACCTCACCGTACCTTCCTCTTTTTTTGCTGATCTGATAGATCCATTTCTAGGTGATTACTAGTGAAGCAAGCTACCTACGCTCTTTGAACATACTAATCACACATTTTATGGCAAGTCAGGAACTCATGGGTATGTCGATTTCTTCATTTTCAAAAGTATTTTGGTAGTGTGTGTAGCTCATGCCAGGGCTGCAAAATGCGCTACATAGTTTATAGCCATTTCCGAGCTATAGTAGTGGTAGAGTAAGTCATTCAGAGCGTCGGCATAATACGTTTCTTCCTCTTCCCCAATTTCCCATGAATACGTTGATGTCCCCTTGAATATCCGATAGTATTCAGTCTTGGAATCGATTGTCGCTTCTGAACAAACTCAATGAAGGAGTTTTTTTGGAGCTTCGACAGATGTTACGTAGTTCAAGTTCCGGGATTTTTAGGGTCAACAAAAATGACGAGCTTCCCTCACGAGGATCCTCCTAGCCAATCCTTGTTGTTTCGCACGAAATATTGTACGCGAAAAACTTATTTCTATGCCCTCTTTTACTCGTCTATATCATGCGGAACTCCGCGAGTTCTCCACGACTTTCCGATCCTGCCGTCACTCTAAAGGAACTGAACGAAAATGCAATGCAATCAGGAAAGTGGGGGCTGTGGAGTAGTAGGCCCACTACGTAGTAGTGGAAATACAGGGAGGGAAATCTTGAAGTCAACAACACTGTTGATTTCGTTGCGTTTTGTCCATTGACCTCTGGTCCTCCTTTCGTTCCCGGCAAGTGAGTGTGTTCTGCAGACAATAGACAGCAATCCTGATCCGTTCTCAGAAAGTCGCCCCTGTTGTGGAGAAAGGAAAACTGCCTCAGTGAAAGTGGGACTTTCTAAAGCATGGAACAGAATCGCTGTCTCATTTGCTTCATCTTTCCATATTTCAATAAAATGATCTCTCCGCCTGAAATGCGCACTCTACCTGAGCGCTTGCTTCTGAAGGGGAGAATCGAATGAACCGTAGAGTAACCAATATATATCTGAAGTATCTGAAGTGATCGTTTTTTTGAGAGAAGCTTCTAACAGGTCGAAAACTTCAGATTTGTGATTGTCAGGCTGTAGGGCTGTATAGCCCGGTTGTAAGGGGCCCCTTCACATCTTCATTTGCATTCTTAATTTCAGGATCAAAAAGCGCGTTTTCCGTGATATCCAATTCGGATAGGAAACATTTGTTCAGTAATATCTTCGCAGTACGAGATTGCAGTGAACGGTAAGCTACTTGTACTGTTCTAGAGCTCGAACTGTTGTTGTACCTGAAAGGACAGTCTTATGGGCGTAATCCTATTTCAGGTTACTTTCTGATCTGGAGACAAGACTAGAGCAGAACTTGGTGCTGGACGATTTGTGCTCAATTCTGGTTCAGCACTTTGAAAGCAATTTTGATGTCTATATCAAGTACTGCTCCAATCAGGTGGGTCATTGTGTAGGGCAACCCGAAATTAGGAACTGGTTCTTATAAGATTTTGCACAACTGGATTAAAACCTTGCCCTCCGAATCTCCTTGAATATCGGCCTAATTTTCACTTTTCTTATGGCAATTAACTCTACTGGAAGTATAAGTGATGTATTACCCTTACAAGTCTTTCTGTATATGACTCGTCTCAAAGGACACCATGAAAATGAAACTGAAGGTTCCGTATTTTGACGTTCAAGGACAGAAGGTAGCGGATGCGGTGGAAGCGCCATGTCATTCGAATCTTCTGGAGCATTCCGAACTCTGTGTTTCTAGACTTTTTCATAAGTAGCCGTGAAACGATAAGCTGACGAACATGATTTCTTCCCACGACCCGAACGTAGCATCTACAAAAATCCGTTTGTTTCAGGTCTACCAGGAAAGAACTTTGCGTCGGCTCAAGGCTGAAAATCCAGCGTTTCTGAGTGCTGTTTGTCGAATGGAGGCTGATAAACAGTGCCAAGGGCTTGACATGAGATCGTTCCTTATGCTGCCAATGCAGCGCGTCACGAGGTATTCGACTTTTTCACTTGAACTCTGTGTAGAAACCTAACGTTCGTTCAGGAGTAGCAAACTTTGATAGGGGTCTCACAGTAAGTCCAGTTGGGAGCGTCAAGAGTCCAACTTGTTATCACATTTGAGGAACTGATTTAGTGAATTGCGTTCATTAGTTATTCTTGTGCGGCAAGACAATTAGCCAACAATCGCTTTGCCGTGTCAGCAAATCGTTAGTCCGATTAACAGCGATTCTTGGCTAGTTATCGTGCCGCCGTACAGCACACCGCCTGAGCCCTGTACCGTCACAGATCTGGGTCTATATTGACTTACCTCAGAGAAAATGATCTTAAAAAGCTTATCCAAAAAGAGCTGCGTTGAATTAGACACTCAATTTCAATCGTAGCGAGCCAATATTTAAAAGGTTAATACACTCTCATGATCCCGGATAAATTTGTTTCATATTCAGAAGCAAACTGCTCAAAATAAACACGCCTTTTTTTTTACTGTGACTCCAATTTTCGCTGTTTCGACTGTTTCTTCTCAAAGATAATGTTACTGTTTAAATAACTAGTGTTCCAGATATCCTCTGCTCGTCTACGCAATACTAGATCGACTTCAGAGGGGATGCGATGAGTATGAGGTGGCAACAAGAGCCTTACATGCGGCAAACAAGGTTTGCATAGTTTCTATGTAAATGGATGACCTCGTGTCCTTGCGGTCCCGTCTTCTGATTTTGGTCTAGCGCTACTTACTAACTGTGACTCTGCTAAGGTAGAATGGATTCGTTGTTACAAAACAGTTTTACAGGTAGTGGGTGAATGCAACGAAGGAGCTCGTAGAATGGAACGAACAGAGCAATTGCTCGAAGTGGACAGTCGGCTTGTCTACAAGGATCCTGATCTCAAGTATGTCAGCCTCGGAAGGTCACTGTCACTGGATTGTAATCACCATGCTTTTCGTTTAGAAAGATCGCTCTAGTCTCAAACTGCCGTTACCTCGTTAAAAGGGGTTCATTGGTGCAATTGGTGGAAAGGAAAAACAGGAATATTCTGCAGGTTTGACTTCTCTTCAGAATTCATCTTTCTTGAAGACCCTTGTTTCTGATCTACTCGGGATCCGAATGCTTCTTGAGTTCACACAGGAATGAATTCCGTTCGCTCAGTCTCATTTTGCTTGCCATTACTAACGATTTCCCATTTTTCTCCCGATCATTCCACTTCCTTTCGGAAGGCTCGGTAGCTACAGCATTTCTGAATGGAAGGACTTCCCCTGCCTCTTGCCAACATTTGAAAAAAGTTCAGAAGTTTTCTCGTACTTCTCTGTGCTCACCAACCAAAATGGAGGAGTAAAATAGGGCCAAGCGACACACTGCGCAATCTTTTATGAATTCCCACTCTAACCGCCAAGCCTCCCCTTCACAGTGTTTACTAGTTGGCCAGATTCGCCAAGCGAAAAGCGCTGGTCTCTATATCCCTTGGTCTTCCACAGTAATATAGGCCAGTACGCATTCAAACCCTCTTACGATTTTGAATGGCAGTCGAGTAACTTCTCAAAAAGGGATCGATCAGTACTGGCATGTTTATCCATCATCTCTTGTTAACATTAGTACCTTTATGTAGCCTGTGATGGAAGCACTTATTTCTTCTCATTGCTCGGTTTTTAGGGAAAGCAGAAAACTCGTAATGTGTACATATTCTTGTTCTCCGACATTATCCTGATCACGAAAAAAAAGCTGTAAGTCATTGCACATGGGAGTGCTTTCTGTATGAATGTTTACTTGTTCTCGCTGTTTGTTATACTGAAGAGTGATCCTCCCAGGAACGGCACCTATGAGTGCAAAGACTACGCTGCGAGGCGCTACGTTGATGTGCAACCTATTGAGATCGACAATGAGCGAGTATGTTTTCTTGAACTCAACTCTCAAACTCACTTCGATGAAATTTTTCTTTTCAGGTCGCTCTGACGTCGTTCCCAACTCGTCCTCATCTGTTCCTTTGTGTGTTTATGAGGAACGCTCGAGGAAGGCAAGCGGAGTTATTGTTGAACGCCGAATCGGAAACGGATCGAGAACGATGGCTCAGTGCTCTCAGACCTCCCATAGTGAGTTGACACTGAGAGACAGAAAAATGAGTAACCCTTTCCACGTTGCATTATATGAGATTGCACTGGCAGGGTGGGTAATTACCCCATGTTCTGGAATTTGGTGCTCAGGCGATTGAAAAATGTAAGTAGCTGCACCTACGAACCTCGCAATATACAGGATCAAAGTACTCATAGGCATCAATGCATATTTCGACTGGGGCTTCTCCCAGACAGGGGCTCCTCCCAGACAGGGTGGAACACTACTTTTTTCCATGAGCTGCAGTTTTGTATAGAACATCCATTGGCTATGATTTCATGTCTCTCGAGATAGTAGTTAAGCAGCCTAAACAATTCAGTCGTTTTCTTGCAGTCAACGAATCCTGAAGAGAAGATTTATGCTGAATGGGATTGTCCACAAGCCGTCGCTGTGCACTGTTACAACAAAAACCAAGACGATGAATTGCCTCTAGAAGTTGGAGATATGGTCAATGTTCTCAGAAAAATGCCTGATGGTAAGCTACAGTTCTGAAATAATGACGCTGTCTCCAATCAAATCTGCTTATGGGACTGGCTATTGCTTCCATCAGTCACTGCTTCATTGGTTCAATGGTGTGTGTCGATATAGTGGGTGATGCTTGGAGAAACTCGATATCAAGGACCAGAAACTCGATTTCTTGTCATTTTTGGTCACCACTCCTGGTAAAATGAATAAAGCGTAGCCTCTGTCGTCCCTCTTGAACTAAAAGGGGGCTCGACTTCTGAGGAAAAATAGAACTTCTGAAAGTACATGATAAATAAAACCCATAATGTGAATTAGACAGAGCCTTACTTTTTATTGCCCGAACTCGTTGGATTTTCAAATGCTTTTGAGATAATAAATGGAGGCCAAAATTGAAGCCTGCTCGTGACGAAATAGTCAATATCAGGTCGCTTGCCTGTAGTGGATTTCAGATGAACGATCCGTAGGATATGCTGTGAAAGAAAGGTACTAATAGGNATGTGAATTAGACAGAGCCTTACTTTTTATTGCCCGAACTCGTTGGATTTTCAAATGCTTTTGAGATAATAAATGGAGGCCAAATTTGAAGTCTGGTCGTGACGAATTAGTCAATATCAGGTTGCTTGCCTGTAGTGGATTTCAGATGAACGATCCGTAGGATATGCTGTGAAAGAAAGGTACTAATAGGTGGGGTACCGTTCTGATTGGGGAAACAAAGTGATTCTGCTTCTCGGGCGAATCTTGCACCCAGCCCTCATCCCATACATGAATGGAAATGCGTCCACTACCAGACCTGGCATTTGGCCATCGCTTTCACGCTTCTTTTTTTGATATTTGTTTTTACTTTTCTCACAAGACTCGCTACCCAGCTTGGTCCTTGTAGAATCAAATACTGCGGTGTCTTCAGGTTGGTTCTTTGGACAAAAAGGAAGCGACGGTTCGTCGGGGTGGTTTCCGTCGTCCTACGTCCAGCAGATCCTTAATGATCACGTCAGAGCCAACAACTACCGAAAACGACTTAGACTTATTCAGGTATTTCTTACAACTTTACGTCGTATCGATAGCGTTGCATTCACTGTGTACCGCTGCGATCCACTCAAACTCAGCTTAGCTTGCTCAACTTCAACAACAATTCAGATGATCTCACATTCTTGAGCAGAATTCGAGTGCATGGCGCGTGCCGGGGCTTCTCTTCAGTGACGAAAAATTCTTTTCATCACACAAGACTGCCCAATATTCAGGCTGCAAGCTCGGTCTCAGCTCGTGAAGGCGTCGTGAAAAGTTCTTCGACTCCGTTGATGGACCGACTCCGACGAATGAGCAACCCACGATTCCTATTCCAAACCGATGTCACTGGCCTTTGAAGCCAAAAAACCGATAGATCAATTAATAATCGATCGATTTATGCTCAATTGTTCATCTTTCCATGAGCGACTACGGACCATTTACGGTTTAGATGCTCTTATTATTTATATGTCGATGATCTTTCAAATGTTCTATGCTAGCCGAGCTTGTGTTATTAGTTACTAGTCAGTGTCACCTCTATTGAGGTGTTAGAGAGCCCGACTATATCACCCCCGTTATGTCCATATCGTTGTTTTCTCTCAGCGTATTTGAAGAGTCGCATCACTTCTTTTTGGTATTATGCCGTTCCGTATAAAGTGCTTTCGCATGAACAATATTTTTGAAATAGAGCACTTAGTGAAGCAGTTTGTTTGGCTATAATTGCCATATCCAAGTTTGCATATCGGCTTGAAAGACAAAATCGAGAAAGAAGGACAGTCCAGCGGATTGGATGATTCCGAAGACTTTGACGTCGTTTTCTAGTTCAAGGCATCCTGTCATCGGAGATGACGCTGTAATGAATTTAACTCAAAAAAGAGCTTCAGATGTTTCTTATAGAACAACCTGATGATGGGTGATGCCGTAGCAGTTTCTGGTAGTTTTATTGAGGTTAGTCGAGGATTCCGATCCAGTTAGCGATAGAATGATTCTTTTCCAGCACCTGACACAAGAACGGCTTCCGAAGGGGAATATGGCAAGCTGAGAAGTTGTTAAAGGCACAGTTCAAGTAGTTTTGGGTTACCCTTTTTATATGAATAACGGACGTTAATGCAGAGTAGTGCATCAGTGGCGAAGAAACCGCATCCGCAGAGCTAGCGGGGTATTAGAGTCCTTCAATCAGTTGAAGTATGTTAAGGTAGGTGATTATGATGAAGAAAGT